TCTGAATTGCAACTTTAAAATACTCCGTCTCTTTTCCCCCTTCAGGGCTTTTAGCCTTTGAAAGATTCCATCTTTATTCCTTTATTTTAGAGGTTTGTGTGGGGGTTATGTGTGTTTGTGTGGAACTTTCTGTCGATGTTCATCATCCCTGACAAAGAGTCATCTAACCCCTCCTGCTATGTTTAGAAAGAGTTGCCCTGTCCTATTCACTTGGGGGTATATTGAGTGACGGAAGAAGTTCGATGAGAAAGTGGAGAGACTCTGCAAATGTAAAATTCTGTAGTCTGGGATTGAAGCATAATCAGAATAAGAAGTGTGACTTCCTGTGTTCCCAAAGTGCCCATCAAACGTGGAGAAAACGGTCAAGGAAAAAGAATGGAAGAAAGTTCTGATTTCTTTTTATTAAATCCCAGAAGCCATTCCCTTCATTTCCTCAGTGAAGGAAAGAGTCTTGTTTTTATTCATCCCCAAAGTACGTTAGAAAAGCAAAAGTAAAAAGGATTTCTTTTCCCCGCATCAAAATTAGTTAAAACTCCTAATCATAGGCTTATAATAATCATATTTAATTTGACAGTCCTCTAAGGAATAATATAAACAAATGATTGATTGCATATGATATATCTGAGTCACTGAAGGCCATGAAGCAAGTGGCTACCCAGCAGGGGTGTCAATGGGGTACGCAAGGAAGGGCTGGGAATGTCCCATCTGAAACCTTGGAGAGCCACTGTCAGGCATCCTAGTAGAGAATACCAAACTGAATAGACTAGTGCTCTGACCATTGCAGTGCATTTGAGCAGTGCTTTGCCCATGCATTGCACCAATCTGAGCGTTGAAGACTTGGGTAGAAACTGCAACCTGAGTTCGAGTTCTTCATTGAGTGGGAGCTAGGACACCATGTGGAAACATTTGGGCAGGTTCAAGAAGGCAGCCAATGGCCTGCTACATCATGTGATCTCTCCTCCCTCTCTTGGCAAAAGATACGCAAGGAAGGGGAGGGATTGCATTGCCCATCCCACCATGCATCCTTCTTAAACTGTCCACTTTCAAGTGCTTTGCCAATTTTGAAGGAAGGGTTTGCATTCTGTTTCCTGGCAAAGCTCTTTCAACTGGTTAGATCTGAGAAAGGATTGCACTGTATATTGCCCTGAAGATTACCTTCTCAAAATGGTCCGTTTGCTTTAACCTTTGACAGTTCATAGCAGGTGATCGACAGTACAGCCCTCCTTTCCGAGGGAAGTGCTTGCAGATCTGATAGAGGAGATGCGAGAGACTGGGCTGTGCATCTCCTCCTTAAATTGTTAAAGCTTATGCTTCAGAGAGGTGATGCATCACATCAGCGGTGGACCTTGGGCTCTCAAATTTCAGCGGTGCCCTGTGTGGTGCCCAAATATGGCACACGCCCCCCGCTTACCTTCCATTCTACATAATAGTTGTGGATTCCCTGCGGCACCCACAAGGCTCTGAGCTCGGTGCAACCCAACTGGTCGCACTCCCCTAAATCTGCCTCTGATTGCGTGCTCCACTCCTGCCAATCTGAAATTGGTTTATCATCATCATCATCAAAATGTATTACCCACTTGTCACCAGTAGGACCCAGGGCAGATTGCAACAATTCAAAAATTAAAATTAAAAACAGTTAAAACAGATTAGAATGGGGAAGGGACGATGACTGAAAACTGACATTTCTGGTTGTTCTCAGCTTATTGCAATGTTTGTGTGTTTTTATTTGAAAAAACAATTATTGCATGATAACCTTTTTGATTGCTGCAAATTTATTGTAAACTTTTTTTAAAAAAAAAATACTTTGATGCACAGTAAGTGGTGATGTGAACATACACCAAGTGTTTATAGCATAGTGGCACAAGTACTTTTTGACACTGTGGCTCCTGATATCAAACTGATATCTGCAATTTTGCTATTTTGCCAGCTGCTGAAAGCACTTTTGTTTCGCCAGACGTTTTTAGAAAAATCAGTGTTGGTCATTTGCTGTGCATTTTATGATATTTTTATGATGTTATTGCACAGCATTGTGATATCGCGTGTGTGTGTGTGTGTGTGTATCTGAAATAATAAATAAAAATGTGGCCCTTCTTTCGGCTAAACATAATTGGATACCTTCATCTTTGCACAAGTAACAAAGGGGACTTTAGTTCAGTGGCTCACCAGCTTTATTTCTTTTATTCATTTTTTATTTTTTATATCATCTTCAACTCACTCGGTGCTTTTCGGCCATCAAGACAGATGGCATGTGAACAATTTTGAGGTTATTTGTTCTTAAGCATGTCTTCTGGGTTATATGTCATCCTGACAAGCAGCCAGGATCCCAGCTGCCGGAAACATTACAGCCCTGTTGCAAGGTTATAGTTCATTGACCGAAACAGTGCAGAAGATGTATGAGGGATCTGGTGACTGCTGCTGCTGAGAGCTCACTCCAGGATTCTGAGAGAGAGAGAAAGACACAGTGAGCTGAAATTGTATAAAATGGGGGTCAAATATGTACAGCTGTGGAGCTGCACCACATCTATCAGGGAAGGCTATGTTTTTCTGTTGTGTGCTATTCATTACAGCATGGTGGCTCAGATACATTTTATTAAAGATAGATTGGCGTTATTTAATTCAGAAGGCATTACTATTCCCTGGAGACCAGGGGTGCATGCACATGGGGAGCGGGGAATATTTCTCAGCCGCCTACTTCAGTGTGTTACCTACTTGCTTCCCAATCGTACTCCTGGCTCCCTGCTAGCAGCTGTCTGTGGCTCAGATTTGACGTACAGGCAGGCCTATTTTGAAGGCCTGACAGGTCAGCTTTAATGCTGGGCTACAGCAAAGACATTTTGCTGGCTGAGGCAGAGCAGAAAATGGTTCACACACTTACACCTCAAGGTACATAGGGTTGTACCCCAAGTTAGTTCTGTTCAGAGCAGACCCATAGAAATTGATCAGCAAGACTAACTTGGGTCCATTAATTTCAGTAGATCTACTTTAAGTAGAACTCAGTTGGATTCCATGTATAGTATCTATATCCTACAAGCAGAGGTTGGATGACCATCTGTCATGGATGCTTTAGTTGAGATTCCTGCATTACAGGGGGCTGGACCAAGTGACCCTCGGGGTCCCTTTCAGCTCCACAATCCTATAAGGGATGTGGGTGGCACTGTGATCTAAACCACTGAGCCTCTTGGGCTTGCCAATCAGAAGGTTGGCGGTTCGAATCCCCATGACAGGGTGGCAGTTCGAAAGCATGCTAGTGCAAGTAGATAAATAGGTACTGCTGCGGCGGGAAGGTAAATGGTGTTTCTGTGCACTCTGTTTTTTGTCACGGTGTCCTGTTGCACCAGAAGCAGTTTAGTCATGCTAGCCACATGACAAATGCCGGCTCCCTCAGCCTGAAAGTGAGATGAGCGCCGCAACACCATAGTCGCCTTTGACTGGACTTAACCATCCAGGGGTCCTTTACCTTTACCTTTTTACAATCCTATTATTCCCTCCCAGGTAATAAAAATACAACAACAACTACAACAACAACAACAAAGTTTAACTAGCAATTTTCTGTAACAGAACTGAAAGTGGTTCCCTACTTGTCTGGCCTGTTGTTTACAGTGAAAAGAGGGAGGCATGTTGGAGATTGGGCTGGCATAAAGCTGTTATATATTTTCTCATGGGACATACTAGGTTGTTACGACTTAGATCCCAGGGAAGCTTATAACAATATAAAATTGAGAATTAAAAACTGCTAAAACAAATCGCAGTCAAGGGGAATAAGGTGGGTCCACGTCTCGGGTGTCAAATGTCAGGGGAAAGAGGTGTGTCTGCAGCATCCGCCAAAAGCTGTAAAGTGAAACTGCATCAGAGCCGTCTTTCCCATTGGTGTTAGTGGTTCATTGTGCCGGGGCGCTGGCCTCTCAGGGGCACCCTAGCAAGTGGGGGAGCTGTGCGGCTTTGCCGGCAGCCTCCCCTTTCCCTGCACGCCCGCCAGCTGCGCCCTGCCAACTACCGGTATATAGCTGGAGGGCGTGTAGCTTCCTTCCCAAGCCTCCACAAGAGAAGAGCGATCCCTGCAGAGGCTTAGGATGGAAGCTGCACGCAGCTTCTCTCCCAAGCCTCTGCATATGCTAAAGACAGCCCTGCTCCTGGTCGTTGTCCTCCTCCTGCTTCCTGGGGAAAGGTGGCGCGCAGCCTTCCCGGGCTGCAATCTTGGGCACCCTGACACCAGAGAGCATGTCCACCAGCACACTTTCCTGCTTGATCGCTGCCACCATGCGGGTATCGGGGTGGTGGGGCAGGCAGAGGACATTTTCTACCGCCCCCTCCCTTGTTTTGGAGTTGCCAGGGATCTTTGCACCACAGTGCTGGATATGCTTAAGACGGCCCTGAACTGCATAGTTCCACCACCCTCAGAAGTGCAGAGAATGGTGGCCCATGAGAGGGCTTTCTCTCTGGCAACGCCAAATTGGCCTCTCCTGCACAGAGGAGCATCTAGCATCATCACAGCATGGCTAAAAGGACACACATACACACATATTAGGGCCCTCCCTATTCCTCTGCAAATTTTAATACTGTACTTTCATATTGTTGTAATCTGCCCTGGGACCTTATGTGAAGGGCGGGTGAGATATAGTAGTAGTAGTAATTATTATTATTGACAACATTGGCAACTTCCTCCTTTTCCTTGAAGCAAAAATATTGCTGGCACTCTCAGAAAAATCTGGGTTCATTTGCCCCCTCAATGCCTCTTTAAAAGGATGCTACGTCATAGGAGTATTGTCTGGTGGTAAAAAACATATTATATCCAGAAGAAAATATATCATATCCAGAACTCAAAATGCAATTCACCCCCTCAAAACTTTTATTTGTTTTAGCAGTCCACTGAAGGTTGGTGCTGTTTTCTCTTTCACTTTCCTTCCCAAAGCGTTCCCCCCATCCCACCCGCAAAAAGGTTTTAGAAAAATGATCACAAAATTGGTGGTCTTTCAGGATACTCAAAATCAGATGCCTGAGGGGACTTCCGGGGGGCGGCGCGAACGGCAATGGCGGTCTTCTCCCGACGGGAGAAGAGGCTCCGCTGAAATCGGGTCGTCCGCTACGGCGAAGCGGAGACCCAACGAGGAAAACCCCAGGCAGCAAGAGCCTGGGGTCCTGAGGCTCGGCGGGCGCCAAGAGCAGCCCTCCAACTGCAGAAGGAGCCTCGTAAGGGGCTCCGGAGCGTGGAGGGGGGTTGCGGCGCTGTGAGCCGTTTCACAGTCAGCGGAGTGAAGCCGCGCTGCTGCTGCCGGTGAGCGCTGATCCCTTTTCCTGTTAAAATTCGGACCTGGAAGAAAACAACTTACTCGTGAGTAAAGACTGAATCACTTGGAATTACAAATTTTAAATGAGAAGGTTTAATTTGGCTTGAATTTGGCTGAAAGCGGAGAGACGTGGAAACAGGAAGTCCGTCTTCCGCTGCCATTGAACTTGGAAAAAAAGCAACTAAGGCGGAGGAGTGGAGGCTGAAAGAAAGAGACTTTAAACTCTACACAGCCAAGCATCTATGGAACTTACAATTTAAAGTAAAACTAGTAAGTTAAAGATTTGGATCTTTTATTTGTACTTGACTTTCCCCCTTTTATTGGATTACAAATTGGAAGGTGAAACCCAGAGTCAGGATTGCTTGAGCACTGTAAGAGCGAGCTGTCAGTGTTGATTTGGATACTGTATATTAGAAGTTGCAACAATCTGAGGGTATTGAGACCTTTTAAATTTGAAACATTCTTTTTGGAGACAAATAAGCACTGTCTGCAACAAAGTGATTACTTTTAAACTCTGCTTAATACTTATATTGGAAGGTTCTGGGACATTAAATCAGACTCTGAAAGACATCTTAAGCTCCCTCTAGAGGATTGGATTAAAACAGTGACTTTACAAATACATTTACTTTCGATTCCCTTGTTGTTTGCTTGCTCTGGGCCTCTCTATTCCTGTGGGAAAAACTCAGTGTGACCTTGACTTATAGATAACATTGGAATGAGTGGTACAAGAAGAAGAGGAAGAGTTAGACAAACAACTCTAACAACTCTAACCTCAGCCTCGCAGACACGTAGATCATCTGTGCCTACTTTGCCCTCAGAAGTACAACTTGAAGAAGCTGACTTGCCACAGGCAAAAGAGGGAGAGGGTGAAGCAGAGCAGTTACAATTGGAAGATATGGCCTCAGGATCATCTGTTTCTGTGCTAGAAAAATCTTTGAAAAATTGGAAGCTTTGGACAAGAAAGTAGATGCGCAATCAGCAAAGATTGATAAAAATACAGACTGTCTAAACAAATTAACTACACAGGTGGGACAGAATACACAAGCAATTGGACAGTTGACGGAGGCCTCAGTAGAAAATCGAAAATTGGCTGAGGATACCAGACAAAAATTGGAAAATTTAGAGCAAGAGGTAAGACCACTCACTAAACAAGTTGGGGAACATCAGACTTATCTTTCTATGATAGAACTGCGAAATCGTGAGAATAATTTGAGGATTAGATCATTACAAGAGGCAGAAGAAGGAAATCTAACTGAGTTTTTGACCAAAGAACTTTCCAAGTTCTGGAATTTGGAAGAAAAGGACTTTAAAATTGTGTCAGCTTTCAGACTTGGAAGATTTATAAAGAAGGAGAGGCCCAGGGATTGTTTGATTACATTGAGATCGAAGGAGGAAAGGGATAAGATTTTGGGTCTACATTACGAAAAGTCACTGGAGGTTTTGGATAGAAGAATTGAGATATATAAAGATATCCCAAGACAACTGTTGGACCTTAGAGCCGCCTACTCTGAACTTGCTAAACTACTAAGGAGCAACGCAATTCCATTCAGGTGGGAATTTCCCCAAGGATTATCTTTTACCTTTAGAGCGAGAAAGGTCAAAATTAGAACATTGGAAGAGAGAGATAAATTTCTGGCTACATACGGAGAGGACCTACATAAAGGAATTGAACTACCTTCCGGGCCTGGGGCAAAGCCAGCGTCAATACCTCCACCTGGGGAGCTTGAAGACCCAGAGAAGACACCACCCCGGGAGAAATAACCAGACAGATCCAGGATGTCTCTGCAACTGTTGAGCTGGAACATTAATGGTTGCAATATTCCGGAGAAAAGGAAGAAAATATTTCATATATTAAAAAAGAACAATTGGACATTATTTGTTTACAAGAAACACATGTGACGAGGCTCCACAGAAAAGTGTTAATAAATAAAAGATTGGGCCAGGAATTTATTTCGTCGGACAAAGTGAAGAAGAGAGGAGTGGTGATATATGCAAAAGAGAGCCTGTCACCTAAATTTCTATTTAAAGATGAACATGGAAGGATTTTGGCTATTGAGATACAATATCAAGGAGAGAAACTGCTGATATTAGGAATCTATGCGCCCAATGAAGGGAAATCGGAATTTTACAAGAAGTTGCAGGGGACAATGCTGGATCATCTGGATTACAACAACATCATAATGATGGGAGACATGAACGGGGTCGTGTCAACTAACATGGACAAGTCGCAAAGTCAAAATGTCACAAAAGATGGCAGACTACCTAAAACCTTTTTGAAATGACTGACAATATGGACTTGATTGACATTTGGAGAACAAAGAACCCACTAGGTAGAGAAGGAACATTCTTTTCTGAAGCCCAACTGACCTGGACAAGAATCGACCAAATATGGATCTCTAGAGGCCTGGCACCTAGGGTTAGAAAAGTGGAAATCTGCCCAAAGACCTGCTCTGACCACAACGCAGTAAAGATGGATATGACACTACTACCAACTGGATCCTTTAGATGGAAGATGAATGACAATTTGTTTAGAGATCAGGAAATTACCAAGAAGGCCCAAAAAGTTTTGAAAGACTATTTCGAGATAAATATGAACAATTCGGTGGAAAAAAAGAATCGTCTGGGACGCAAGCAAAGCTGTCATGAGGGGATTCCTGATACAACAGAATGTAGTAAAGAAAAAAACACAAAATGAGAAAAAAGACAAGATTTTGGATAAAATAAAAGAATTAGAGAAGAAATTAAGAGTGAATCCAAAGTCACAGCCAACTCTGAGAGAAATTAAACTGTATCAAACACAATATTCTAAATTGATAAATCAGGAAATTGAATGGAAGATTAAATTAATGAAACAAAAACGTTTGAGTCGGCGAATAAATGTGGAAAACTGCTATCTTGGCAGTTGAAGAGAAGACAAAGATTAAATACGGTTACAAATTTAGAGGTCGATGGAAGAAACATCCAGAATCCAGTGGACATTAGAAAGTGTTTCCAGAGATATTTTAAAAACTATATACCCAAGGGCCGCAAGACGAAGTTGAGATTAAACAATTTTTGGCAAAAATGGATTATCTAAACTGTCACAAGAAAATAGGACAACCCTGAACTCTAAAATAACACGACAGGAGATTGAACAAGCTATTCAGAACATGCAACTTGGCAAATCTCCAGGGCCAGACGGGCTGACCTCCAAGTATTATAAGACACTAAAAGACTATTTGATACAACCCTTGATGGAGGTTAGCAATGAAATTATGGAGGGGAAGAGGGCACCCGATTCGTGGAAGGAAGCGTTTATCACATTGATACCAAAGTCAGAAGCTGAAAAGACACAACTGAAGAACTACCGTCCCATCTCCCTTTTAAATGTGGATTACAAAATATTTGCAGATATTTTGGCAAGTAGATTTAAAAAGTTTTAAATGAAGTAATTCATAAGGACCAGGCCGGTTTTCTCCCAGGTAGACATCTGTTTGCTAACACAAGGAACATTATTGATATCTTGGAACTTCTCCAAACTGACATAAATACAAAAGCAGTTTTAATTTTTATAGATGCGGAGAAGGCCTTTGATAATATTTCTTGGAAATTTATGATGGGAAACTTAAAAGAGATGGGAGTGGGACGGGGTTTTGAGAATGGGATTGAGGCGATATATTCAGAACAGAAAGCTAAACTGATAGTTAATAATGTGGTTACAGAAGAGTTCAAAATTGAAAAAGGGACACGACAAGGCTGCCCTATCTCCCCTTTGTTATTTATTTCGGTTCTGGAAGTGCTATTGAACATGATTAGAGGGGACCAGTTGGTGGAAGGAATTCAGGTTGGTCAGAAACAATATAAACTAAAAGCTTTTGCAGATGACCTGGTTTTGACCTTGCAGAAGCCAGAGCCTAGTACGAAAAGAGTATTACAACTGATTAATGACTTTGGTCGGGTGGCGGGATTTAAATTAAATAAACAGAAAACCAAGGTTTTGGGAAAAATTTGACTGAGACAGAGTCAGAACGGTTTCAGAATGAGACGGAACTTAATGTGGTTAAAAAGTAAAATACCTAGGGGTAAACATAACAGCAAAAATCTAAGTCTATTTAAGGATAACTATGAAAAATGTTGGACAGAAATTAAGAGAGACTTAGACAGTTGGTCAAAATTGAAACTTTCTTTGTTAGGCCGAATTGCTGCGATTAAGATGAATGTATTGCCAAGAATGTTGTTTTTATTTCAAACACTTCAGGTTTTGGACAAAATGGAGTGCTTTCAGAAGTGGCAGAGAGACATTTCGAAGTTTGTCTGGCAGGGCAAAAGCCCAGAATTAAGTTTAAGATACTAACTGATGCAAAACAAAGAGGGGCTTTGCCCTGCCGGACTTAAAGTTGTATTACGAAGCCGCAGCGTTCTGCTGGCTAAAAGATTGGCTACTTCTTGAAGACACTGATGTGTTGGATTTGGAAGGGTTTAACAATGTTTTTGGATGGCATGCATATTTATGGTATGACAAAGTTAAAGCAAATAAGGCCTTTAAGAACCATATTGTTAGAAAATCACTGTTTAATGTCTGGACAAAATATAAAGACTTGCTGGAAAATAAAACACCAAGGTGGCTTTCACCTTTGGAAGCTAAGGCCCGAAAAGACCCAATATGGAGGCCAAATGGCCAAAATATTGGGAAATACTAGACAAGATGGAGACAATTGGAAATTGCAGAGTTTGGAGAAAATGAAAGACAAAGTGCGAGATTGGTTACATTATGCTCAGATTAAAGAAGTTTTTAAAAATGATAAGAAACTAGGGTTCCAGGTGGAGAAATCGAAATTAGAAACAGAATTGTTAGAACCAAAGACTAAGATACTTTCAAGGATGTATAACTTGCTGTTGGAATGGAATACACAAGATGAAATGGTTAAATCGGCTATGATAAGGTGGGCACAGGATATTGGGCATAACATTATGTTTGAGGACTGGGAAAGGCTGTGGAGTAATGGATTGAAATTTACTGCATGTAATGCTTTGAAAGAAAATGTAATGAAAATGATTTATAGATGGTATATGACCCCAGTCAAACTCGCAAAAATTTACCACCTGTCTGATAACAAGTGCTGGAAATGTAAAGAGTGTGAAGGAACGTTCTTTCACCTCTGGTGGACCTGCCCTAAAGTGAAGGCGTTCTGGGAAATGATTTATAATGAATTGAAAAAGGTATTTAAATATACTTTCACTAAGAAACCAGAGGCTTTCCTTTTGGGTATTGTCAGCCAAGGGGTGGCAAAGAAGGACCAGACATTTTATGTATGCAACAACAGCAGCAAGGATACTACTCGCAAAACATTGGAAAACTCAAGATCTACCCACACTGGAAGAATGGCAGATGCAACTGATAGACTATATGCAACTGGCTGAAATGACTGGCAGAATCCGTGACCTGGGAGAAGAGAGAATCGAGGAGGATTGGAAGAAATTTAAGAACTATCTACAAAAGCATTGTGATTTGACTGAATGCTGAATAAGATGCTAGACTAAATAACTGAGCACCACTTAACTTAGAAGTTTTTAAGAAAATAAGAAAAACTGTGAAAGTTTAACTCTTTATGAGAACTTTAAGATTATGAAATATCGAAGAGATATAAGAACTTAAATAAGATGATAAATTGCTGACAAAATGTTATAATGATGAAGGTGGGAGCGGGAGATGTGAGGAAGTCCAAAGAAAATGTGAAATTATGTTAAGACGAATGTTATATTGTTTATTACATTTATCCCTATTGTAAAATCCAATAAATTGCTTTAAAAAAAAAAACAAAATCAGATGCCTGAGATGGGGCATCACTCTAGCTAATTGTAGAGTTGGTACTGTGCTACAGTCCCAAAAGTAATCAGAATTACATTTTTACTTTTCAAACACATTTCTTTTCTCAACAGGAACAAGAATTGCCCAACAAGGCCAAACTAAACCATCATCTGTCCCAGAAATCTTGTTCCAACACTGGCCATCCAGCTGCCTTGAGGAAGGTAAAAAAGATTGTAGACATTCCCTGTTCCTTCTACTGAAAAGCCAGCAACTGAAAGTAGATAGCATCTGTTCCTAGCTACTGCAACACTATACGTTTTGGCATTCATTGAAAGCAAACAGCCTGATCTACCACCCAATTGAGTTTCAAGAGCATTAAATCAGGTTAAATCCATTGACTTAACAAGGTTGTGGACTAGGCTGCTGATCTTTAGTTTACTAGTGTCTGTTTTTCATCCATATTGTTAATGCCAATTAAAATTGAAAGTGCATTTCTCGAAAAACAACTGGGCATTAAATCACTAAGATAAGTACAAGGAACCAGCTATAAGGCAAATCAACCTTGTGCTTAGAGGAATTTAGAATTGGACCACCACATTCAGATGAGACTCAGATATTTGGCAGGACTTCCTGTACAGAAACTGAACCCAGAAAACCTCTCAAATTGCTCCCAAAATAGAGGCAATTGGTGTTGTAACAATATGAGAAACCCACATACACCCCAGTGAATAGCATAATATTTATTAGGATCAGCATGGCTGAAATTCTGTGCCTATTTTATTGGAAGTAAACCCAATGAATTTACTGTTGGTTGTAAGGTCTTGACCTTTTTTTTAAAAAAAAATGGAACAAAATGTGTTCACACTGGTGCAGTCATATAGTGGCAATGTTGGCAGTGTTCCTACATCTCATCATGACAACTCCCATAATCAAGTCCACAAAGGGAGTCCAAAAACGCAGACCCCATTTTATTTTATTACACATCAACATACACCTACAATAAAGACCAGCAGTACATATAATTAGGATCAAAATGACTGCAATACTGTGCATATTGCCCTATGAGTACGCTCTATTGAATTAACTCAAGTTGAAACATGGTTTTCGAGCTCAGGCTCACATTGAGCTTTAACAGCAGCAACAACTTCCTCCTGCTACCATGAAGGAGGAACCGCATCAAAGTAAAGAAGTGTCTAGCCTCTGCTTGATTATTGCCCTCATTCTTTGACTTCCTCTATGCAGTTCTATCACACACACAAAAACTTTAAGGTCTCATTATCACCTCATTTACTTGCCGGAGCAAGGGAGATCCATCTGTTACCTTGCTGCTTCAGCAGATAAAGCCATCACTCTTGTTCTGGAGGGGAAAGGCTCTGGAGCTATCATTCCCCATCTGCTATACCACTGCAAGTTTCCAAAGAACACTGCAACACTCTTCTCCCATATCAGGCACTGGGTGATTTTCTACTTTGGTCCTATCTGGAAAGATAGGAGGTAGAAGCAGTGGAAGCAAGAAAGCATAGGAGCAGATGGAGAAGGGCAGACTCTATAGCTGAATCAGAGGTTGAACATAAGATATGAAGAGCCTGCTGGATAAAGCTAGTGGTCCATCAAGTCCAGAAACCTGTTCTCACTGTCGATATGCAGAGGGCCGAGAGGCCAGCTGGCAAACCCCAGCTCGGACGTCTCCTTCCATCAGCCCGTGCTCTGACGTAAATAAGCGACCCAGACTTCAAAAGCCAGGGCACGCAATTTGCAGAGTGTACTGTGCACACAGAAGTATGTGTGAGGCGTATGGAGTCATGCTACAGCTACAGATTTATTAAACATAAATCAGAACAAAGAAACATGTCATCTCTCTCTCATGGCGTCTCAGAGAGAAGGGCAAAAGCTATACACAAACGGAAGTTCCCAGCATACTGTGCTGGA